AATTTCCGCTACGGGTTCTCCAGAACCTGTCAGAACCTGCTGAATTTCACCCCTGCCTGAGAGGCAGGTTGGGCTGAAAGGAAGAGACCTACCTGCCAGATTATCTGGATAAGTTCCTGATTAAGTGAAGTCTTGGGGAAGGCAATCCGACACACCTCCTTCTCTACGCTGCAGCTGGGAAACAAGCCAGACTGATCGTAAGATTCAGTTTCTTCATTAGAAAAAAAAAAAAGGAAGAATCTGGTTATTAACATGCAGTTTCAGAAGCGGTTACAGGTCATGCGGAATAAATGAAGCTGCCACCTTAACCACAATAAAAAGAAAAGATTTGCTTTGTGGTTTCTGTGTGTCCGTACCTATAACAAAGGGGAAAGCGAGAGAACATTTGGTTAAAAAAGGGTGGAGTTATGTCCACATGGGGTTTTTCAGGGTGAATCCATGAAATGAAAGTTACAACAAATCAGTAACTCATGCAGTGAAAAAGAAGTGCTCCAAATACGGGATGTTTTGCATAGTTGGGTTCTTCTTGCTCACTAATGAAACCAGGGGATGCTCAGCTTTGTCTCCCCTCCCCTCCTGCTTCTGTTCCTTTCCCAAGGCAAGAAAAGCAGAGGGGAAGAGGAGGGAGGGGCAATTTTTCCAGGCACCGCAATCTGATGGCTCCCCATTTCATCTCATGGGTGTGGCAGCTAAAAGCTTCCTCTGTTTCTATTCCATGGGAGAAGAGACGTGGGACGGGGAAAAGGGGACTGAATAGTTCTTCAGTTTCCACCCTTGGATGATAACAAATGTGGAGGGAACATCTCTCTTTGCAATTGCTAGCCCAAACGTCCATCTCTCCTCCATCACTTGCCCTCTGCTTTTCTTGCCATGGGAGAAGCAGTGCCGGAGAAGCAGTTCAGGGGAATTAAAAAAAAAAAAAGGAGCGGGATTGGAAACCTCTCCTTTGCTTCCAGTTGCCTGATCCCACAGATCCCAAGATCTGCTCCCCAACGCTGTTCCCTCCAGATTAACTATCCCACATGGATCAGGTGGGCTGTTATTCTGATATGGGTTTAAAGATCTTCTGCCCCACCGCTCCACATATATTATAAACTGCAATTGCGGATCAGCTGCTGCTGTGTGTGTTGTGCCCATTTCCTTCACTTTCTTTTCCTCTCTTGTTCCTGTAGGAAGTTAGCACCCACCCCTTTCCTAGAAGAATGAAATATTTTAGGAAATATTAAAAAGGCAGAATATTATGTTTCCCCGGTTGAGAAATGGAGAAACATGTTTTAAAGACAAAGCAACTCCCACCTTCCTGCCTCCCCTCCTTAGTTAATGGGCCAGAGGCAGAAACTCAATCTTTGACAATAGGACCCATCTGCAACACAATAGCAATAGAAACTAACACAATGGGACCCATCTAGGACAGAAACTCACCACATGGCACCTGGGAAGATTACATCAGCCAGCAAGGCTAGCTAAGACCCCCACCCTTGGGAGTCTGACAACCAATCAGGATACTCTTTCTGGGCCCCAGGAAGTTCAAAGCCAGAGAAAGCATAAAACCCGGGGACTTGCTCTGTCTCGAGTCCTTTTCTGTTCAGGAACTCAAGCCATGTGATCCTGTCCACCATTAAATCATCTTTCCAAGCAGTCTTCATGTTTTTCCCACTTGGAGCCAAACCCAGAAGGATATTTCTTCCTACATTCCCCGGAATATCTTAGTGGGATTGGAGGACTGACGGCTAAAACCCGGTGCTTATTTCTCCCCCTCCCACAGTTTTCTTGCCAGCCAGACTGCCCCAAGCTGGCACTGACATCTCTGAGAAGTGTGTTTATAGAATGTCAAAATTTGCAGGATAATAAAAGGATCAGCACCTATCTCTATGGACTTTGTGTATGTGTGTGTGTGTGTTTGTTTGTGTGTGTTTGTGTGTTGATGCATCTACAAAAGCAGCAGGACTTGTATTGCAGTGGTCTGCCTTGCCTAGATCTTCCAGTCCACTATTCCTGCGTTGTCACTTTTAAACAAAGTTTTATAGGTCCACAGTCAATATCCGTAATCAAGGATCAGACACATCGCAACACAGGTAGAAGAGGACTGTGCACAATGCTGTGTACAACAATCCCAGCATACACTTTCCCCGTACCAGTTTGGTCTAGTGGTTAAGGCAGTGGTTCTCAACCTTCCTAATGCCGCGACCCTTTAATACAGTTCCTCATGTTGTGGTGACCCCCAACCATAAAATTATTCCTAAGACCATTGAAAATATGTGTTTTCCGATGGTCTTAGGCGACCCCTGTGAAAGGGTCGTTCGACTCCCAAAGGGGTCACGACCCACAAGTTGAGAACCACTGGGTTAAGGCATCAGGCTAGAAACTGGGAGATCCTGAGTCCAAGCCACCTCACAAGGTTGTTGTTGTGGGGAAAATAGGACAAGAAAGGTGTGTCAGATATAATCATAATCATAAGTTTATTTGTCAAGCATATATAAGATAACAGGTAACAGTATAAACATAATTTGAATACATGAAAGGACTAAGTAAAAAGGAATATTTTACTCCACCTCCTTGAGTTCTTTGTGAAAATAATAAAGGCAGGATACAAATTATTAAAAAAAATTAAAAATACTTTTAACTCTACCCTCCTAGACTTTATAAATTGATGTAGCCACAGGATTAATTCTTTGATGCTCACTCCTTACAACAGGGAAAAACCCTAAAGTCTGTAAAATGGCATTCAGCTTTTGCCTCCCCCAAAACATCTGGCATTCATTAAGATTAGAGGCTGGTTGGTTCCCCCGCAAACCCCCCCCCATGGCTGCGGAACTACAGGTCAAGCTCCAAGCCCTGATCACCAGCAAGGTTGCAATTCAGCACTTTTGGGGAAAGGATAAGCCGATTAACCTTGGGGAAGGGGGGTAGGAAGTGGGGAGTGGAAAAGTCTGTAGCCCCGGCATGATTTCCTGCAGGCAGCAATCGATCTTAACTTCACTCTTCTCTTACCTCCCAACTGGTCACTGTTTCTTCAACTATTTTCTCTCAGGGCCCCTTCCCCGTTTTAAAAATTATGGAAGCCCCGAGAAGAGCTGTTGCTTGTATGGGTTATACAGGTAGTCCTCGAGTTACGACCACAATTGAGCCCAAAATTTATGTTGCTAAGTGAAACATTTAAGTGAGTTTGCCCCATTTTACAACTTTTGTTTTGCCACAGTTGTTAAGTGAATCATTGCATTTGTTAAGCTGGTAACATGGTTGTTAAGTGAATCTGGATTCCCCATTGACTTTTGCCTGTCAGGTCGCAAAAGCTGATCACATGACATTGGGACACTGCAACGGTCATAAATATGAACCGGTTGCCAAGCATCTGAATTTTGATCATATGACCATGGGGATGCTGCAACCGTTGTAAGTGTGAAAAACGGTCATAAGTCCCTTTTTTTCCGTGCCATTGTAACTTTGAAAGGTCACTAAATGAACTGTTGTTGAGGACAACCTGTTCTTTTTTGACAGACTGGTAAATCCTTTTGATTTCATGGACCCTTCAGAGAATTTGGGGCCAACCCAAGGAGTCCTTGGACCATACTTTGAGAAACAAGAGAGAGAAAGAAAGAGACAGTGAGGGAGAAAGAGAGAATAACACACCTCCACCTGTGTGTATCTTGTTCCTGTCCTTACCATCTTGGCTGATTGTTAAGCGAATTTCAATGTAAATACGAACAAGCATTAAAATTATTGCAATAATTTTTAATTATTATTGAAAGTATTAAAATAATTAAAATTATTTTAATACTTTAATGTGTTTATCTTGTTGCTTTGACTTGATTGTAAGGCAGTGGGCAGCATTTAATATAACGTCTATATGGAGATGCTCAATTGTGCTTTTCCCAAAAAGGCAAACTGGACTTTTTTTGGTTTTTCCCTTGTACTCTAAACGACTCATCCAAGAAGCTCAGAACTGAAGAAGCTTCTTAAACGAGAAGCGAAACGTTCTCAAGGGGAAAAAACAAACAAATCAAAACCAAGAACCAAGCCTTTTGGAAAAGCACCTTCGGGACATTTCATGTAATAAATAAAATAACATTTTAAATATCTCTATCTCTCTCTCTCTCTCTCTCTCTCTCTCTCTCTCTCTC